GTAAGTTTATATATAATTTTTGCATTCTAATAAAGCGTACAGACTAAGTTTAATCAAAAGCAAATGAAATGTACAACAAAACTTTATTGATAAATCATATGTACATTAAAGGTTATAACAAGAAAAAAAAACTATTGTAAAACTATTCATCATTAAAATTAGCATTACTTTTTCTCATCCGCATAATTTTTTCAGCTTCTTTAATAGATTGTTCAAATTCACAGGACTTTTCAACAAAATGAAAATATGTTGCATATTGAAGATCTCCTAATTTTAGTATTTTTCCTAACCAACGAGAAGTACTATGATGTTCCTCTAATACAGAACCCAAATATGCAATGAAACGAAATGAATTAGACTCACATATGAATTGTACACGATCTTTACTTATAATAGGAACAAATTCACATGTTGAATCTGGCTTAAGATCATATAAGCGTGCATGAATTTTTCCTTCACTTGAACCAGATAATAAGTCTATACGAACGTAACTTGATCCACGTTTCTTAATAATGTAAAAAATAATAAATTTTAAAGAATAATAAAAAAACAAATTCAATAAAATAATAAGAATTTGAAATAATTTACCTCAAATACTGCAATAATTTCAGCAATGACAATAGATTGACTATTCTCACAATAATAATAATAATCTCCTCTTTTAAATTTGGATGATTGTGGATTAATTTTTGTAGAATCAAAGACCTTTTTGCATGCAGTTTTCCATCGTGTAATTCTTCCTTTTGTTCTTGTTTGATGTTCAGTATTACTCAATCGATCCTGACGAACAGCAGCCATAATATCCATTGTGCCTAGTTCAGTAACTACTGTAAGATTATTTTTATTAAGTGTAGCTTTATTTCCGATTTTTTTCTTTTCTTTTTGAGTGTAGTAATCATATTTTTCTAAAATTTCAGATAATTTATTAAACATTGAAAATAAAAAATGATAAAAAATTACATTAAAATTACCTCGATAATATGACATTGTTTGCATTATAACTAATGGACTCAATT